ACACCTCACATGGAGCAGCACCATAGAGGGAAAATAAATGTTTAGAGAAACATGTCAAAGCAGAATGTGGAGGAGCCCAGGGACCTTTTCCGTTGCCCTTTGTCAGTGTCTTGCTCTGGGTCAATGTAGCTCAGTTGGTAGAGCATGGCACTTGCAACGCCACGGTTGTGGGTTCGATTCCCACGGGAGGCCAGTATGAAAAATGTATGCACTCACTAAATGTAACTGTAAGTCGCTCTGGATAAGAGCGTCTGCTAAAATGACTAAAATCTATAATGTAAATGTCTTGCTCTGGGTCAATGTCTTGCTCTGTGCCACTGAGAGGAAAGTAGTGTGTGACTGAGGGAAACAGATATGTAGCTAGCTGGCTGTAAATAACTTCTTGTTCGTCACAGTGTTCCATACTCTGAGCACAGGTAAGCTAGAGCCTGTTGCTGGAATCTCGCTCTCTACACTGACTCAGATGACAGGTTGCATGGGAAAGAGATGGAAGGATGAGAGAAGGAGGGGAGAGGAGAGGTACAGCAGAGGTACAGCAGGTCATACCTGAGGTGGAAGACTGTTGGAAGATTGTTGGGAAGTAGCGTTCTCATCTGGGGAGACAGGACAGACAGCAGTTAGTTAGGTCATCATGAGTAAGGCAGTCAATTAATATAATACCCTTTAATTTCTATTCAATTCAGTTTCTCAAGATTTCCAGGGGTGATATTATACAAAGTGAATAGGAAAGGGAAGTATAATGAAGCTCATGTTTTATGCATATGGTAGAATGGGTAGTGTTGGTGAACACTTTTAAAACAGAGAGAATAGCGGCCTATTAAGCAGCCATTGAAAACAAACCTTCCTCCAACCAACCCATTTAACATCTTAACAACATTACGGAGGACTGCAAGTTAAGGATTGGATGTCATCCTTTTGCCAACAGTCATTCATCCACATAAAAAGGGACGTGATTACATCAGCAATTAGACCCTCCACATTCATTCCTATGACAGTATTTAATGACATCCTATTAATTTATTATGAATGTGACAGAACAGAAAGCCTGGGGGCCTGTTAAAACATCTACAGTGCTATGAAAGAGTATTTGTCCCCTTTCTAATTTTCTCGACTTTTGCATATTTGTGATACTGAATGTTAGCAGATATTCAACCAAAACCTAATATTAGATAAAGGGAACATAAGTGAACAATTAACACAACAATTACATATTTATTTCATAAACAAAGTTATGCAACACCCAATTCCCCTGTGTGAAAAAGTAATTGCCCCCTTACACTCAACAACTACAGGAAGCATTTGGTTGGAGTCATTGCAGCTAAAGGTGGCACAACCAGCTATTGAGTGTAAGGGGGCAATTACTTTTTCACACAGGGGAATTGGGTGTTGCATAACTTTGTTTCTGAAATAAATATGTAATTGTTGTGTTATTTGTTCACTTATGTTCCCTTTATCTAATATTAGGTTTTGGTTGAAGATCTGATAACATTCAGTATTACAAATATGCAAAAGTAGAGAAAATTAGAAAGGGGGCAAATACTTTTTCATAGCACTGTATATCAACAGAGAGGGACTTCAATTAGCTGTTAATTAAATAATCCCCTTTAATCCAATTAAACATGGGTCATTCAAAAGCTAAGGAATGAGTCATCCGATACAGCATGGACCATCCTGACTACTGCAAATGTTGATGGAGCTAGCGCGCAAGCATTTCACTGCTCTATTTATACATGCTGTAAACTGTGTACGTGATTTGATTTGATTTTGAGTAGGATATCATATGTAAGCAGCATATTCCAGGCTCTGTCCTACTGGTGATGAGTTTAAACCATAGCTGTGTTAGGGGACAGGGTTCCTACCAGACAGAGCAAAAGAGGAGGGGTTTAGGGAGCGGTTGGGAAACTGACCCCTGCTCCTTTCCAGCCCTGGTGTAATCCTGTTAAGAATGAGGGGTCCCACTTTGTAAAGCACCAGGGAGGGCTGTGTGTGGTTGGAGTGCGGGAGAGGTGAAAGGTTAGCAAGTGCTCCTTATTCTCCAGGCTGAGGGTGCAATGTTTACTCCCACATAAACTGCTATTGGTCAGGAACCATGAAGGGAATTGGAATATCCTAACCGTTTTCTACACTCCTTGTCCCACTGTATGTACAGTTGAAGTCGGAAGTTTACATACACCTTAGCCAAATACATTTAAACTCAGTTTTTCACAATTCCTGACATTTAATCCTAGTAAAAATTCCCTGTCTTAGGTCAGTTAGGATTACCACTTTATTTTAAGAATGTGAAATGTCAGAATAATAGTAGAGAGAATGATTTATTTCAACTTTTATTTATTTCATCATATTCCCAGTGGGTCTGAAGTTTGTATACACTCAATTAGTATTTGGTAACATTACCTTTAAATTGTTTAACTTGGGTCAAACGTTTCGGGTAGCCTTCCACAAGCTTCCCACAATAAGTTGGGTGAATTTTGGCCCATTCCTCCTGACAGAGCTGGTGTAACTGAGTCAGGTTTATAGGCCTCCTTGCTCGCACACGCTTTTTCAGTTCGCCCACACATTTTCTATAGGATTGAGGTCAGGGCTTTGTGATGGCCACTCCAATACCTTGACTTTGTTGTCCTTAAGCCATTTTGCCACAACTTTGGAAGTGTGCTTGGGGTCATTGTCCATTTGGAAGACCCATTTGCAACCAAGCTTCCTGACTAATGTCTTAAGATGTTGCGTCAATATATCCACATAATTTTCCTTCCTCATGATGCCATCTATTTTGTGAAGTGCACCAGTCCCTCCTGCAGCAAAGCACCCCCACAGTATGATGCTGCCACTCCCGTGCTTCACGGTTGGGATGGTGTTCTTCAGCTTGCAAGCACCCCCTTTTTTCTCCAAACATAACGATGGTCATTATGGCCAAACAGTTCTATTTTTGTTTCATCAGACCAGAGGACATTTCTCCAAAAAGTACGATCTTTGTCCCCATGTGCAGTTGCAAACCGTAGTCTGGCATTTTTATGGCGGTTTTGGTGCAGTGGCTTCTTCCTTGCTGAACGGCCTTTCAGGTTACGTCGATATAGGACTCGTTTTACTGTGGATATAAATACTTTTGTACCTGTTTCCTCCAGCATCTTCACAAGGTCCTTTGCTGTTGTTCTGGGATTGATTTGGACTTTTCGCACTAAATACATTCATCTCTAGGAGACAGAACGCGTCTCCTTCCTGAGTGGTATGACGGCTTCGTGGTCCCATAGTGTTTATACTTGCGTACGATTGTTTGTACAGATGAACGTGGTACCTCCAGGCGTTTGGAAATTGCTCCCAAGGATGAACAAGACTTGTGGAGGTCTATCATTTTTTTCTGAGGTCTTGGCTGATTTCTTTTATTTTCCCATGATGTCAAGCAAAGAGTTTGAAGGTAGGCCTTGAAATACATCCACAGGTACACCTACAATTGACTCAAATGATGTCAATTAGCCTATCAGAAGCTTCTAAAGCCATGACATCATTTTCTGGAACTTTCCAAGCTGTTTAAAGGCACAGTCAACTTAGTGAATGTAAACTTCTGACCCACTGGAATTGTGATACAGTGAATTATAAGTGAAATAATCTGTCTGTAAACAATTGTTGGAAAAATTACTTGTGTCATGCACAAAGTAGATGTCCTAACCGACTTGCCAAAACTATAGTTTGTTAAGAATACATTTGTGGAGTGGTTGAAAAACAAGTTTAAATGACTCCAACCTAAGTGTATGTAAACTTCCGACTTCAACTGTATGTTGTACCTGTATGTTTCTGGGATGGGGGGTCCTGTGCACACTGGGGGACTTTGGTCTGGGCGGAGAGCAGCAGTTCATACGTGTGATCCTTCTCCTCCTCTGCCTCCCCTCTCTCATCGATGCTGCTGTTAGTGTACAGGGCCTGTAGGTAGAGGGAAGTCAGGTCAACAACAAAGCATCATTATCATTTGTATAAGGCTAATCAATATTTTTCTCACTGTCCTGTGATGCTGGTACCTCCTACAGTGAGGTGAAAGTCCCTCCCGAGTGCCCTCTAATGGTTGTTCTAAGACTCTTGGCCACAGTTGTCAGCTCATGCATAGCACACTAAAGAAGCAGGAATTATGGTATATGGGGCTGCTAAAAAATTCCAAAATTACCCCAAAACCACAGAGGGTGGAGTGCATATATGATTATTGTACAGTTGGGTAAACACTACCCTAGCTTTTAAGGGGAAGCCATTCATTAAAAGGGTGTGACTAACGGCACTAGTGTATTTCAAACTAACACCATATATATAATCCCAACACTGGCAGTACTTTTCCATGATTCCACAACAGTCTCATGCTACCATGTTTACCCCCTTGTCAGCCACTGAATAGACCGAGCCTGCTCCCTCTCTCCCATAACCAGTACCTTTCTACTTCACTTCACCCCCATCCCGCCTCCTATTCTCTTCCTTGCTCTAACCAACGCCACATTCAGATTCATATTCATGAAGGGTTTGTGTGATTTGCACAGATGTGGAGAGAATCGTCCGCAGCACCACTGACATTCTAAGTAGTTGACTAACATTTGCTAATGCCACATGCCAACAGTGACATTCCAGGTAAAGCCTATCAGTACTCTGGCCAATAGTAATGGCAACATAGTACTGCAAAGAGGAGCTCTAATGACCATAGATACTGACCTCCTCTTCCTGGCCTGGGGCATGTTGAGATTGGTGAGCCAGCCGATCTTTCTGTAATTGACAAACAGAGAATGAAATCGGTGACTGTGCTCAGACTGTGCTCAGACATTAGAATGACATATATCTTGAAGTACAAGGTTGGCTGAAAAGATGAGAACTGGAGCCTTGAATTCAAACATAGATTTAGGCTTTAAGAAATATGCTGTCAAATTTCTGACAGGAAGATTTGTAAGTCCAGTCCACTCAACAATTCAATGCAGAGAACCATTGCCCTCTAGTGGAGGAAAAGTATTTTAGATGCCCATCCACACAAACCTCTGTCACATGTTGTGTGTTTCTGTGGTGTAAGGCAGTTCCAGACCAACCTTTCCGGCTTCACTGTCAGGTCGTCCAGAGTCCCTGTCGGAGGACTTGCCGCTGGCCAGGCTGTCCAGAGAGTGACAGGAGGTGGCCTCGAACAGAGCCTCATACGGGCTCTCCTCCTCAGGCCCCGGGGCCAGCCCCGAGATCAGCTCACTCACCAACTCCAGCTCACCTACAACACACATACACATTTTAATATATTGGACATGCACAGCTTCACACCAGTACACAGCCTTGGCTGGTGGTTACGTGTTAACACCTTATCCTGTCACTGCTCACTCAACTTAAGGTTTTCTGTATTGCTATGTCATACCTTTTGTCCTCGGGCTAGGGCTCTCATTAGGCGGAGGGACAGGGGGAGGAGGCAAGTCTAAAACAGGGGGATTTCCTGACATATGACCTTAGGAGAGATAGGGAAGAAAAGGTCATTTGCATAACATAATTAGTCAGATAAAAACATACTTTTTTTTAAAAAAAAAATCAGTTCGTGGTCAAGGTAAGGTCAAGGTAACCTTTTTTAAAATCCCATAGGGAACCATTGATCTCGGTCTGTATTTCTTACCCAGGATTAGAGCTGCTATCTGCCGGCTCTTCTGAGAGGGCATCTCTCTGACAGTGTCCAGCGCTGTCAGGCCCTTGTCGTCCACCATGTTCACATTAACCCCTGGAGCAGGACAAACAGAGACATGAGGAGAGACACAGAGGACAGAGCAGGGGATTAGGAGAGGAGTGACAGCTGAGGAGAGGGTTAGGCCATATATCTGCATTATTCGGCTGTTATAAAAATGTGTTGTGTTGTGTCTTGTAGGCATCAGTGTCTGACCTGCACTCAGCAGTTTCTGCACCACGTCAGTCTTCCCAAAGAGAGCTGCTTCATGGAGGGCACTGCCCTTCTCCGTCTGCAGAGAGACACAACAAACACACCATAATAAAACCATAATTGAAACAGTGCGAGGTTGAGCAATAACAAAACATGTAAAGACATCAAAGTAGACTCCCTGCCAGCAACATACACCACAGCAGAGGTCAGATCTCTAACCCTAACCCTCCCTGCTGAGAGGAACAGGTATCTACACCACCTCACTGCTTTGACTTTGATTCCACTCCTCTTATCTTGGTCAGCTAGGACATACAGCTTAATGCTAAACCTGCAGGATACTTCCTGAACACACAGGGCAGGGTTGACCTGCGTGAAATAGAAGTTTGACGAGTTATTTATACCCCGCAGAACGCCACCCCTGCATGTTTTGCTATGGACAATTATTTGGTTGAGGAATCAAATTAGATCATTTTCCTACTCGTAGCACCATGCTAATGGAAACCTGCAGGAAGCAGAGCCTGAAGGACACTTGACATTGGCCCAGACCTGCTATAGAGCAGAGAGGAGGGGAGTGTAGGTTGGACACGACAGATGGATGGCACAGTTTGGTATAAGAAGTGGAGAGTGCCAAAAGCCCCCATTAAAACTGTTTCTTTAGCCTAAATAAAAGAGCTCAAGAGGTTTGTATCAAGAGTCTATCAGTATATGTAGGCCTAAATGCTGCAAACAGCAGATGAAGCCATCAATGATCCAACATAATTTGACACTATCACAACATACATCGTGTTTATACAAAATATTACTATACAAAATATTATTATGGACACTCTCACACCAACACACTGAAACTGATCATTGAGCATGCAGGAGAGACAACAGACCGAGTGCTCTCCTCAGTCCTCACCTCGTAGTTGATGTCCATGCCGGCTGCTAGCAGAACCTCCACCACGGCCAGGTGTCCGTTGCGTGACGCCAGGTGCAGCGGCGTGTGTTTCTTGGTGTTGCAGCAGAGAAGGTTGGGGTGGGCGGTGAGCAGCAGCTTGACCACCTCCAGCCGGCCATAGAGTGCGGCCAGGTCCAGCGGCGTCTCAAACTTGTTGTTCCTCATGGTGGGGTCGGTCAGCTCCTCCAGCAGCAGACGCACCACCTGGGTGTGGCCGTACTGGGCGGCACAGTGGAGGGGGGTCTCATTATCGTTGTTCTGTTGGGGGGTGGGGGGGGGGACCAGGAATGGGAGGCAAGGGGTGAGCATCAACATAGAGGAGGTTGAGAAATAGGTAGGAGTGGTGGGTATTGGGAGAACGGAAGGAAGGGGCCATTAAGTGAGTCATGGTCAGATCAGGGATGGGCAACTGGTGGCCCACATTTTTTGTAGGCCCGCGGATCGATTTCCAAAAAGGTGGCCAATGTTTAGGAACTCAGCTGGGGTCTCAACTTACTGTTGATGGTTAGAATAGTAGAATACAATAGGTGCAATTTAGAAATTTGGTTGTGCGTCAGCAGTTTTTCAGGAGCACCAATCAGGAGCGCTGGCTGGCTGAGAGCAGGGGGTGCTGGGAGAATGCTGGGGAGTGGGGACTGAAGTCGTGATTGGGAACAGTCCCTGTTGAGTAGAGCTGGCTAACAGCTGCTTCTTATAGGGCATGGCCTGCTATAAATGTGATGAAAGGACAGTCTGTTGACATTTAGTAAAGGCCACCACACTCAGGAAAGACACACTTCTGTGATGACAATACGTCATGTGTTGCTTGGTTGTTTAAGTAACTGCTTCATGCAGACAGAGATAGGGGTGACCACCAGTGTGAGAGAGAGGTGAGTGTTGTGGTGACAGGCACAAAGCGTGGTGAGTGTGATCAGTGCAGCGCTTCACATGCAGAGGCAGCAAGCATACGTTACCAGGGCGACCCAGCGAGCTAGAGTGCTAGAGGGACAAGACTCATGTCAATACAGTCAGTGTCCCTGAGAGCAGAGCAGTGGATGGATGGGGATTTGGCTTGACTAGTAACAGAGACATGATGGCAAAACTAAGGTCACATTTCTAACTACACAGGAAGGCAGACTGAGTGCAACGGACAGAGGAAAGATCTTTAAATACAGATCATCTCCAAGTGCAGACAGAAAGGATCAAACCAACATGTTCACTATGACAACATTATAACAATATTATTACAAACAGGCTTTTCCACTCAAAAAGCAACCACAATACTAGCACTAAAGCCGATGCTGAGTGAGTTGCAGCATATGCCGTAGCCAAATGTAATCTCTATATCATATAGAGAATATTAGAGATAATTTCACACTGAAATAGAGGATCAGAGCCATATATTAATATTGTAACAACATGTTAACATCATTACAAACGTCATCTAGCCTATGTCAGCAGCATACTCAGTAGTGGCTTGTTTTCAAATCTCCACTCTTATTAACAAGTACTACCATCAGCAGCCAGAAGAGGGCGGACAATACATTGAGCCTGACGGATCAGCTGAACTGAATAATGGTCTTAATAACCATTGCATATCCAACTCAGAACAATTGATAGATATATAAATGATATATGCCCTCTCACATTAATTACAAAGGGAATGTGATGCTAGGTCATAGAAGGGCAGACTGGGAACACTCCAAAGTCATCTCAATGGCTAACAGCAGCGTTTCCCAACTGTAGCTCAGTTGGTAGAGCATGGCGCTTGCAACGCCAGGGTTGTGGGTTCGATTCCCACGGGGGGGCCAGTATGAAAAATGTATGCACTCACTAACTGTAAGTCTCTCTGGAATAAGAGCGTCTGCTAAATGACTAAAATGTAAAATGGGGTAGCGAGAGAAGCTCTGAAATAAAACATTTTAAAACCAAGCTTGGTTCACAGAACGGGGGTTACCTCAGTAACCTCCAGTAGCCGCTAGATGCGGTTGTAATAAACAGAGCGGTTTCTGTTTTCTTCCTACAAATGTGTCTCTATCCTTTCAACCGTTTAAGCTACAAAAACTCAGGAACACGTCTTCTGTTTCCCTCTACAATGCCTATAAGCTGCGCAGGACTCATTAAAACAGAGTGGACAAGACCAGGCACTAAATCTAACTGGGGGGAAAATAACAATCAATCAATGATGATGTTCTTATCTACACAGAAGATTATACAAAACTAATGCCTGATGATCTTCTGAACTTCCCAATACCATTCTGATGAATTTCAGTCACTTCAAACAATACTTCCTTCAGATTGAAATACTGTCAAGAGCACTCTGACTGATTTGTAAGAGTGTAATAGCCCTAATTAAAAAAGTAAACAATGGCCGTTGATTCTTTTTTTACATGGTGGTGTTGCTCTTTTTTTAAAATATCCAAATAGGGTCGCGGGCCAAAAAAGTTTGGGAACCCCTGGCTTACAGGCAGTATGCTGTCGACGACAGGTCTGAGAGCAAACATACAGGTTTTGCATACAGGTTTAACGATAAACCTAATGCAAGCCTAAAGGTAATGAATTAATTACTGATCCTGTTGTAAGAGACAAACCCCTAGACCCCCCTAGCCTAGCTTCTCTGTGCCAATCAACAATAAATGTGCCCGGAGTGTCAGTCATGCCACAGCGGGGTAGCCGACAGCTGGCAGGAGAATACCCACACACAGTTTGCCAGGTTGGATCACACCCTATGGGAGGAGGTGCCAGCTGGGCCTGTGGAGTTATGGAGTCACCGAAGCAGGGCCATGAGACAGGGACTGTGGGTTAGGGGGAGGTTACAGGGCACCCAGGACAGGTGTTGGCCCCTCCCCCCTGAGAAAGTAAAAAAAATAAGATCAGAGCTGAGGGAAAACAAAACGCCACCTGCTTTTCTGGAGAGACAGGGAAAGACAGGCTGAGAGTAGCTGAGTCTGGCCTTGTGTGAACTGCACTACACAAACACAATAAAGACCACAGCACAGACGAAAACACTCGAAAACAAAAAGCCTCTGTTAGTGGAAATAAACCACAAGCTTCCGCGACTTTAATTCTGCTGTGGTTTTGTCGGTTTGGGATTTGACGACTTGTTTCTTCCTGCTTCTCCTATGTGTTTTTGGTCTAAATTAAGGTTTGGATCTCTCTTTCTTGGTTTCTCTCGGTCTCCCTCTCTTTCTCTCCGTCTGTTTCTCTCCCTCTTTCTGCTGCAGGGGCATGGCACGACCACACACAAAGGAGCATGCCGTCTCGCATCTGTGACACACCGTCAACTGTTTTGTCATCCCAAGCGTTATAAAAAGAGATTTACTCCCTACTGTTAGATGCGGGCTACTTCAGAGGAACATGTTCTATAGCCTTGGGTATACTTGCAAAGCCTGGATAAATCAGCCATAACAATATCCAAATAGAAACCAGCTTCAACCTTCACACAGTATGTGTGCTGGCTAACCACTGTTAATGGCCTATTGAATACTACCTGCAAAAACCTAGACTTTCTTAAGACTTACAGCAAGATGGGAGACAGATTTGCCATGGCATGAACACATGATCAGAGTCTAGCTTTAAGACACAAACAAATCACAGCATCACCAATGAGGTTAGAGACTCGAGAGGATCCCTTCCCCTCCTCTCCATCCCAGAGGTGTGGCCAGTGCTGTTCGTTCCATGGCTGTGAGTCTGACATCTGATCGTATTAGCCATGGCTTGCCTCTGCGCCGATGCAGAGTGGAGGGTGAGCAGCATGAATCAGACCTACCCTGAGCCGCCTCCTTCACTAGCTTACTGCACACAGGGGTCCACGTCGTTCAAATGCTAACATAAAGGACAAAGCCTCACACACACACACATACACGTCCTGGTCATCCACAGGGCAGAGTTGACTGATGTAATGGGCAGCTACAATCAAGACAAGGATAAGTACATTATGTAAATCAAGTACAGTGGGGAGAACAAGTATTTGATACACTGTCGATTTTGCAGGTTTTCCTACTTACAAAGCATGTAGAGGTCTGTAATTTTATCATAGGTACACTTCAACTGTGAGAGACGGAATCTAAAACAAAAATCCAGAAAATCACATTGTATGATTTTTAAGTAATTAATTTGCATTTTATTGCATGACATAAGTATTTGATCACCAACCAACCAGTATGAATTCCGGCTCTCACAGACCTGTTCGTTTTTCTTTAAGAAGCCCTCCTGTTCTCTACTCATTACCTGTATTAACTGCACCTGTTTGACCTCGTTACCTGTATAAAATACACCTGTCCACACACTCAATCAAACAGACTCCAACCTCTCCACAATGGCCAAGATCAGAGAGCTGTGTAAGGACATCAGGGATAAAATGTAGACCTGCACAAGGCTGGGATGGGCTACAGGACAATAGGCAAGCAGCTTGGTGAGAAGGCAACAACTGTTGGCGCAATTATTAGAAAATGGAAGAAGTTCAAGATGACGGTCAATCACCCTCGGTCTGGGGCTCCATGCAAGATCTCACCTCGTGGGGCATCAATGATCATGAGGAAGGTGAGGGATCAGCCCAGAACTACACGGCAGGACCTGCTCAATGACCTGAAGAGAGCTGGGACCACAGTCTCAAAGAAAACCATTAGTAACACACTACGCCATCATGGATTAAAATCCTGCAGCGCATGCAAGGTCCCCCTGCTCAAGCCAGCGCATGTCCAGGCCCGTCTGAAGTTTGCCAATGACCATCTGGATGATCCAGAGGAGGAATGGGAGAAGGTCATGTGGTCTGATGAGACAAAAATAGAGCTTTTTGGTCTAAACTCCACTCGCCATGTTTGAAGGAAGAAGAAGGATGAGTACAACCCCAAGAACACCATCCCAACCATGAAGCATGGAGGTGGAAACATCATTCTTTGGGGATGCTTTTCTGCAAAGGGGACAGGACGACTGCACCGTATTGAGGGGAGGATGGATGGGGCCATGTATCGCGAGATCTTGGCCAACAACCTCCTTCCCTCAGTAAGAGCATTGAAGATGGGTCGTGGCTGGGTCTTCCAGCATGACAACGACCCGAAACACACAGCCAGGGCAACTAAGGAGTGGCTCCGTAAGATGCATCTCAAGGTCCTGGAGTGGCTTAGCCAGTCTCCAGACCTGAACCCAATAGAAAATCTTTGGAGGGAGCTGAAAGTCCGTATTGCCCAGCGACAGCCCCGAAACCTGAAGGATCTGGAGAAGGTCTGTATGGAGGAGTGGGCCAAAATCCCTGCTGCAGTGTGTGCAAACCTGGTCAAGACCTACAGGAAACATATGATCTCTGTAATTGCAAACAAAGGTTTCTGTACCAAATA